AAAAAAAAAAAAAAAGCAAATTCTCGGGGGGGGGGGCACAAAAGAGGCTGCCCATTTCTCTTCACATCTCTGCTTTGATCTGTAAAGGGAGGCAGGAACAAGCCCCCTCCCCCAAAAAAGGAAAAAAGGAAAGAAAAAAAGAAGGAAAGGAAAAAGAAAAGGGAAAAAAGAAGGAAAGGAAAAAAGAAGGAAAGAAACTAGGAAAGGAAAAAAGAAGGAAAGGAAAAAAGAAGGAAAGAAAAAAAGAAAAGGAAAGGAAAGAAAAAAGAAGGAAAGGAAAAAGGAAAGGAAAAGAGAAGGAAAGAAAAAAGAAGAAAAGAAAAAAGAAGGAAAGAAAAAAGGAAAGAAAAAAAAGGAAAGAAAAAAGGAAAGGAAAGAAAAAAGAAGGAAAGGAAAAGGGAAAGGAAAACAAAGGAAAGGAAAAAAGGAGGAAAGAAAAAAGGAAAGGGAAAAAAGAAGGAAAGGGGGGAAAAGGAAAGCGGGGAGGGGGAGGGAAGGAAGGGGAGAGGAGGACCCCAGAATTCACACCTGCCTCCAGTGGACAAAACAGTGGTTCATAGCTGCTTCCAGCAGCGCCCCCCCCCCCCCGCGCCCTGCTTCTCGCGCGCTCATCACCTCCTTCCTTCCTTCTTCCTTCCTTCCTTCCTTCCATCTCTCGCCACCCCCACCCCCACCCCGGGACCCCAGCCCCACACACTCCCGCTGCCCAAGTTGGGAGAGGCCGGACGGGCCCCATAAGGCGTGGAGGGCGGGGGTCGGGGGTGGGGGAGAGAGGGAGAAACGGGAGGTGCCCCTCCCCTCCCCCATACTGCAATGGGGGGGAGGGGAAGAGGACGCTCCCTTCCCCACTCCCCCCCCCCCCCCCCCCCCCCCCTGGGGGACCCCCCCCCCGGCCTGTTCCCTTTTTGCCCCAGGCCCCCCCCCCAGCGCTGGAGGTTTTTTAGCTCGCTGGTGGCCTCCCTGTCCGACCCGGAGGAGGAGAGCGTGGAAGAGCGGCTGTTGAGCTCGGAACCGGAGGAATCCAAGACGCCCAACCCGGGGCTGGGCGCTAAAGCTCTGGCTTTGCCTTCGGGGCCGCCGGCCAGGGAAGGAGGCATGGCGGTGGTGAGCAAGCTGCCCCCGCCGCCGCCGCCGCTGCTGTCCGGCAGAGGCACCGAGAGGGAGTAAGGGCTGTAACGCAGGCGAGGGCGCACGGTGTTCAGGAAAGGCGGGTGCCGGTGCATCGGGTTGGCCGTCGAGGCTGCCGCCGCCGCCGCCATATAGGTGTAAGGGTAGGGGAAGAGGCTGCCGAAGGGAGACATCGCTAGGCTCTACAAAAAGAAGAGCAACAGTCAGTCGGAGGAGCCAGCACGGGGCGGGGGGCGGGGGGGGGGGGGACAGGGAGCTCCCAACAGCCGCCCCCCTCCCCAAATGCAAGACTGCCTGGCAGTGGGTCAAGCAGGCTGCCAAGCCAGCACAACCAGTGGGTCAGCCAGGCTTCCCCCCCCCATGCGCACACACACACATCAAACACAGGCATTGAGTAGGTCAAGCAGGCTGCCAGGCCAGCACAACGAGTGGGTGCACCCATTGCTTTCTCCTTCCCCACAACCCGCAAGCCACCCCCTCCCCTCGGAGAAGCTGCCCTGTGGCGCAGACTCAGCCCTGTTGCTGGTGGAGTAAGGGGGTCAGGAAGGGAGCCAAACCTATGAATTAAAGTCCAGGAAACCGGTAGTTTCTTTTGGCCAAAATAAGCATCCAAGCAGAGCAAATGTCTTAGGGTTAAGGATTCAGGGCTTAGGAGGTCCCTGGCATTCATGGAAGCATGTGGGTGCCTGTGCATATGCTCGCGCGCACTCACACACAAAGACAACCACACACAAATATTCTTTCATGAGTACCAGGGATGGACAGGAGGAGGGAGAGAGAGAGAGACACACACACACACTCACACAGAGAGATTATACATACACATACACACATACACAGGCTTCCATGAGTTTCAGGAACAAATAAGCACATTACATTTTTATTATTATTATTATTATTATTATTATTATTATTATTATTGATTTAATCGTCAGCTTGATTCACAGTTAGGACTTGAACTGTTAGTAAAAACTTAACAGTTCAAGCCCTAACTAAGGACCTAAGAGCTGTTAAGGAGCACCTGAGTATATATGCAGTTCCAAGTAGGGTGGTTTGGGGTTTTTTTTTGTTTTGCAAAGTCAGGATATTCAAGTCTAATAAGTTCAACATTTCCATTTATCTAGGCAGCCCTTTGAGTAACAAGGGCTCCTGTTACTACTGGTACGTCCGCTGATGTCTACCTCCATAGTCACTCAACTTCAGTGTGCAAATAATTCGCATCATCATCATTACTATCTCTTTTATTCATTGAACATGAAACTCAAGTCAATTGAACATTTAAAAATATATCGCAAATATCATTGACTGGTGCTGATACGGGTTCCTGCCATCATCCTAGGTTTTGACCTAGGATGCTATATACATCCATCCATCCATCCATACATACATCCATACATACGTATGTATATGTATATATAGATATACATTTGATCTTCTTCAAATGTATTGTTATCTCTTTTATTCATTGAACATGAAACTCAGTCAGCTGAACATTTAAAATATATATCATCATCATCATCCGTAGTAGCAATAGTAGTAGAAGTAGTAGTGAGATATTTTATTTTAATGTTTTAGTTTTTACCCTGGTCTCAATGAAAGATTAAAGGATTGCTCTAGAACAGATAAAATCCAGATGCTCCCATTCCTGGGTGGCTTTCTGATCCACAGGCCTGCCACCACAGTCAACCTATTTCCCCTCCCCTCCCCAGGTGCATCTGGGAGAAGGGCAACCCTCCAGCTGCTCCAAAACTACAGCACCCATTGGCCTCACCCTCCTGGCAGAGCCCCTGTGGCAGAAGTTTCTGCTGTCCCCAGCAAGAAATCTCTCCAGCTTAAAGGGGTGGGGGGGGTGGGGGGGAAATATCTCTCTTCCAAGTCTTCCAAGTCTCCGGGCCTTTTTCCACAGGGGGAGAACGCCGGAACTTATTAAGAAGAGGAAAAAGTAAAAGGCCCACCCTGCCAAAATGGTGCCCTGGGATACGCCTGAGATGCTGAAGCGCCTAGTTTGCCAGGTGCTTTTGTCAGCCAAATCCCACTTCATTTTCTGGCTTAAGGAGAGAGAGAGAGAGAGAGAGAGAGAGAGAGAGAGAGAGAGAGAGAGAGAGAGAGAGAG